GATAACTCGTATAGTCACCAAAGACGCCCAGTGTTAGGTGTACTCGGCACTAGATTCGGATCTACGAGATCCAGGGGGTCTCGTGTAGTCTACATGTTGGTATATGTGTTTGTAGAAGGGAGATCCCCCTTCCGTCCTGCATGTCTTGTGCGCTCGTCAATATCAAAGTCCTGAGGGAGGCAGCCTCTACTTCGCAACCTCTGACGCAAAGCACCCGCTACCCAACACCCAGAAAGAAGAAGATTCAATCTATTATCACGGACTCTTACCTGTAGAAGAGATGATATAACGATATATCGTCTGTCCGGCAAATTGTAATTGTGTCTTGGAATTTTGTCCTCCAAAACCCCCAAAAACAACAAAAAAATGAAAACCTACTGGTTGTTGACTATTCGCATCATTTGTTGTGCTCGCACCGCGTAAACCACATGGTGCTTGTGTTTCCTCTCTCGGTAAAGGGGGGACATCGACTGGCACACTGAATGCTGCTGCGCCGGAGATTGTTTTGTACAGCAGTACCAGAGGGGGAATTGAAACGGCCATCACCATTGGGTACTATTGCCAGTACCACTCCTTAAGGTTTTGTGTATCAGTACCAGGTTTTCTTAATCGGTAATGCTTTTGTATTTGGTTCCTGACGTGGGTAGGTGCACCGGTTCCTAACTTGTTAGAAGCTGTAGCCCATTCATACCTACACGATGCAATTGGCTTGAGGTCGATTGGAGCTCTGTGGGCGGAGATCTGCCTGGTCGAGGCAAATACTAAGATATTCCAGCGGTGGAGCAAATCGCTCCGACGTTTTTTGTTCGAAACTACTTGAGCAAACACCGTCACCACCGCCATCAACAACAACACCTACTAGTACGCATTTCACTAATAACACAAAGAAAGCCAGGCAATGTCAAGGACGAAAATACGGCAACAACAACAACAACAACAACAACAACCACAACTAATAAATATGTTTCCAGGAAATTTCTCGTCCTCACCTGGACACAACGTACGCCGCGAGGCTTCGGAGATCTCCTCCGATTGGACCAACGCCGAAGTCGCAGAAGGGCACGTTGAACAGGTTGGGGATGAGCACCGACATGGTCTCGAAGGCAGGTGGCCAGATGTACGAGTAGCGACAATGGCGAGGGGTTACTCCTGCGGCCGCGATCGTCATTGGGCGATGAAATCACGGATCGGTTGCAAAGGAATAGAGAGGTAAAAACGAAATGATGGCATGATGAGTTTGTGTTTTTAGAAAACTTTCGTCATACTTGTACGATCAAGGAAAGGCTGACGACCCGTTCGAGAGTCGTTTGTTGGTTCGGCAAGGAAAAAAGAAGCAAAAAAAACTTCTGCTGACGCTATGGATTCATCGCTTCCGCTGACCCTTTAGAGTCATTGCTAATATATCTCGTAGACTCATTTCTATAGAGAGAGATGGATTCGTTGTGCCATCTCAAGAACAAAAAAAAATAAATCGAGAGGCATCGCTCGTTTGTGTGAAAAAGCATCGAAGAGAGAGGCGTTCGGCCAAGAAAGAAGAAAAAGAGAAACAAAAAGCAAGGGACAGCGGCGCCTAAATAAACCAAGCCAGACAGAATGGACGGTGTCGTCAGCAGTGGTTCGAGAGAGAGCTTTGCTCGTCTACCGTAGAGGCGGAGATATGGCACCCCCCCTAGACCGGCTTTCGATCGCATCACGGCCAAGATTGCCTGTACCGTACCGTATACCGTACCGTGGTATTCCGTAAGAGGCGGAGAGTTGCCCCCCCCCCAGACCGGCTTTCAAAGCATGGCGACTGCTCGGCAACCAAGTGGGTGCTGAAAGACCCCGATACGTCTACGGAAAGCCCTCGAAGACAGCTTCTAACACCAACATTTTTTTTGGTGCCGGCACAGGCTTGGTTGTCAAGCAATGGAGCTTTGAAAATCGGTCGATGGGGGGTGACATCTCTCCTCCCCCCCCTCTGGTGTACCCGGAAGAGGTCGATTTTGTACCCAGAAATGGTCATATAATCCCGGCGCCCGACGCTCTAGCATAAAACCCGCAGGAAAAACCGTGTACCGCACATACCGTGTACCACATATAAATAACCACAACCAAACCACCACCAACGCTCGCTCGTTCATGGGCACCGCCTCCATAGGATACCGGCCCCTCTCGACAGAGGGAGGGTCGGACTCGCTTGACGCGCGAGTTCGTTCGGTGTGGTGCTGATCAGTCAAAGCACAGAGAGAGAGAAAAACGGGCACGACCTGCCTCGTGCATCATGCTTGCGAGGCACAGGACACAGGACACAGACAGCGGTTTATTGGTTTCGCCGCGATCTACGGCGGACGCTGTCGGAGATTGGTGTCGTGTTGATTTCCAAGTGTACCCTGAAATGGTGATAATCCACCTGGGTTACCTGTTTCTGGTTACTTCTCCTCTGGGAATCACCACGGAGCGGAGCTTTTTTTTTTGTTCATGTCACGGAGCGGTTTTTCCTACAGAAAAGCTACGACGCGGCTCGGCAACAGGCAAATACACTGCTATGACCGGGTGCACTTCAAACCAATCAAAAGGCAGAGAGTGACGCAAATGACATATACAAAACCCAAATACATTTCGTACGGGGAGGCCTCCGGCCTCCGGGTGCCCCTCCGGCGGCGGAAAAGGGCTGGGACGCTTGGTGCTGCGAAACTGCGGAATCCGGCGCTTTAACTCACCGAATCACCCCGAGATGACAGATGATGTCCTTTATATATAGCGTAGGTTAGTCACCATACAACTACACGAGGAACCGCATGAATGGGAGAAACGTTATGCGATATGGTAACCGCTAAGGTTAGGGTTAGGGTAACGCTAAGCAGGGACACCCACTGGGGACACGTGCCCAGATGGGACGAAAACCAGAACAACACCTGTTATTGAGGACAAACACAAATCTGTTCGACTCGGAACAGCAGTAGTCTAGGGCCTGGGGAGACGGCAAATGATTATCTAGAGATGTAATTCCGCCGGTGGAAAGATGCAGATCAACAACCACAACAGCACACTACAGAGCGCAGCTAAGGATCAGCCCAGGGACGAAAGCACGCGCACGGACAGATGGTGCGGTCGTGGCGGCCCGACGGTCAACCACAAGCAAGGATTGAAGGATTGAGTTCTTGAGCGAAGGGCTTGATCGAGCAAAGGGAGCTGTTGCAAATATGCTTTGAAAATGGGATTTTTACTGCGGACCACGACCGGATCATCATCTCACCCCTCGTGCACTTTTCCCTTGAGGGAGAGGTACGACAGCGGCGGTACAGCAGTACAGCAAAGGCGGCTGGGCGGGGAGGCGGGGGGTTGACTCTGCTGCCGTGCCGTGTTCAGCGTGAGAGAGAGTGCCCAACTTATGGACTATGCGCCCTTTTGTGGAATGTACCATTGCGGGCAGACAATCAAAGCTAGCGCTAGGAGCTGGGGTTGGTTGTTCCTGTGCCTCTCTGTGCGCCTCCATGTTGGACAGCATGCAGCAACAGCAGCATCAAAACGCTGCTGCTATGTAGCGCCGCTGTACAAGCGCACGGGGCTGCCGACCTGATCGACCCACACAGGCGCAGCCCTAGGAGCAGGGCAGGCACAAACGCTCTTTTACCTACATCTCAAGGTGGAGTCCCACATACATGTATGGTGTGGTATGCATGTGACGAACCTAGGAATATCTCCATCATCCCAAGGACGGCCGCATGCTTCTCCTCGATAACGCTCCAGTCGACCCTGTAGGGGCGAAGAGCGAACTCCAGCGTGCCTTTGTCTCTCATGGTGGTGCTCATCACGCTTGGAGGGGAGAGAGCCAGGGGGTTTTGCAAAGGAAACTTGGATGCGGATGGTAGGTCGTCGAGTGGGTAGAGCTGTACGCTCCTGCTTGTACTAAAAAGGCGGAGAATTTGTCTCTTGTCCGTGAAGATCTACAAGTACACGCCTACCTCGTTTATTTTGGGACAGCATTGGATCGTCCCCTCCCTCCGGGAGAACTCTCAGCAGGACATGATGAACAAGGCAAGTGAAGCAAAATGAAGTGGAGGAGGGCAACGAAACCATGCAAGGCAAACCAACTAAAGCGTACTCTCGTCCGATCAGAAATCTACCACAAGATGTGATGGTTTCCCACGCAACCGAGGAGGAGAGGTAGGTTGTACTATTAATAGTTTTTTTGCGAGAAGAGTGGCGCGTAGACTACATTTATTTACATAGTGGTGGGTGCGCTTTTTGCTTTGCAACAAGAGCTGTTTATAGCCTATTAGTAGGTGCTCAATCAAGAAGCCTCGACTACAACCCGCACATCGAAAACGCATGTTTTTTTTTTCTGTTTTTTTGGCGAAAGGCAAGAGGAGGAAACTGCTCTACAACTGCAATACAAAAAAAAAATGTATGCATAATAAGTACACCATCATTCATGTAGTCGCCTATGGATACATGACATATATTATATATGTATGTTGGCCCTGTACAGTGCCGGTACGTGTCCAGAGATTTACCGGCACTACTAGTAGTCTATGTAGATGAGGCAGACCACGAGGTGGAGGGGCACTGACGACTCTGACGAAGTTTATAGGAAAATCACAGCTGGTTTCACTGACAGACTGGTTGTATGCATACTTCGAAGGGTTAAAATTGACGCTCGATATCATCACGTGTGCGCAGACTCAAGTCTCGGCGTTGGTAGCGAGAGTGCGTGTTTGAAGGACTTTGTCCAACCCGCTACAAGTACCTTTTCTTGCCTCTTCTTCCTTTTTTCCCTGTTTTTCTCCTGCCCGGTTGATTTGATTTTAAATTTTCTCTTGCTCCTCTCTGCATGCAGTGATATTGTTGTTCTGTTCTTGTTGTTGTCTTCATATGATTAAAAAGCAGTTCCGGTCTCCGCTCTGGACCTTCTAATGTCCGTATTGGTCCAACCGACGCGGAGTGCGCGCGTCATTATGCATGAAATCCATGGCATGACTGCTGCTTCTGTGACTGACTGATTGACCATCATCATCAACAACACAACAATAATAATAAACACAACCTCTACTTTGTATTAAATACTTGTTGTGACCAGCAATCGATCCTCTGTTACTTTGTTGGTGGTCTGTCATTCTTGTTGTTAGTCTGTACCAGGCCCCATTCAGAGTAGTACCGGGCGTCATGGTATTTCCGTGTGTGCGAGCCAAAAACACCGGCAAAATACCGGGCACCGGCACTATACAGGGCCCACTACTGTACTCCATAAGACGAAACAACTAACAAACGAGTCTGTCTCGGCCAAAATAAGAGGCTGACGCGTTCTGTAAACTCTTTGCTGTCGGCCTTCGCCCCCCCCCCGCTTTTCTAGGAGTCTAAAACCTGTGTTCACTAACGGAGCATCGACCGAACTAAGGAAAGGTTTGTTGACAGCAATAGGGCGGGGGGGGGTGCATCTCATGTGCTGCTTTTGTTCCGTGACGTTGTCATCAGGACAGGTGTTATCATCATCGTTGTGCAAAAACACCAATCAATCGGTCAGATATCATACATACGCTGAGACGCCTGCTTATCGCCTCCTCTTTTCTCTGCCTCGCCCTCTCCCCTAAGCTCTATGCTACTACTTCTTCTACCAACCAGCGCACGTGATTTGCTACACGGAAGAGCGATGGCGGGAAGAAAAGTATTACTGTGCTATTTTCCTTCTTCTTCAGCACACACCCACCCACCCACCACGTTTGTTTCGGGTTGGGCGCCGCGCACGCGGCGCGAAATCAACCACCAAAGACAAGATGGCATGTACTTGTATGTAAGTTTTATGATACCACTCCTACTACGCAAGACACCACGTCGCGATTCTCTCCGCAACACCCATCCGCCAAGCGGGTGGCTACCTCCCCCCCTCCACCCCCGCCCTTCATCTTGAAAATCCGCGCCTCATGCCACACAACAACCAGCCGGGGTGCGCACCCCCCCCCCGTACTCTCCACTTTCTTCCCTGCTTGGAAACAAACGCCTTCTTACGTCCTTCCGCCTACTGCAAATAAAAAACTACCACAAAATTTCAGGGAAACTACCAGATTCTTTCCGGGCGCAAAGGTACAATACTGAACTTCGGTGCCGTTGGGGGAACGGAGGAACAACAGGCATGTCTCAAAAAAATAGAGAGCAATATCGTATCCCAAGACCGCCATCCGCGGACCCCCTCCAAGAGGCATGGAGATGATAGATATCACGTTGCTGCCCATCGACCAACATTTAGTAGTCCGGGAAGGACCTTATTTCTCAACCATCCACCCATCCACCCACCCACCCAGCTGTCCGCCAAGAGGCAAGCTACCAAAAGAACGGAAAAAATACATGTTATACGTCACGTCGTGACAAGAGATTTCAAGGCAGGAGGCGCTGCATGCGTATGAATCGAGCACCCCCCCCCCATAATCACCAAAAATCCCATCGACCTAATCAAAACCAAAGAAAGCGTTTCGTATAGTAGTGGTGGAATGTGTCCACCCAGCCATCCATTCTAAAAAAAGAGGGCCAAAGAGACCATCAGTAAGCGAGGCAAGCATGCCAACGGGCCAGCCAAATAGCCCAACAACACATGAAACGGGAACTAATCCACGCGGTAATGTCTGCTCATCGCGGGCTGATCTCAGGTTTTCATGTGACGGTGTTCACGAAACGGGCACGCATCAAACACCGTCATTCCATCCATCTACAGTACCGGCAAAATATAAGAAACACGATGACAAAACATCAAAAACAACAAATGCTGACAACCGACGACGACAACGACTCAAGAATATAGAAGCGGGTTGAATACTCCCATAAACTACTGGCTTAACGTCAACACATGCTTTACGTGGCTCGCGGCACCCGATGGCCTTCTCCATGTAACAGGAATTCACAAAACAGCGAAAAGAGTTTTCCCCGGAGACAAATCAATCGCGCCTCAGCCTGGTTGTTGCCTCAAGCCCGGGCAACCAACCCCGAAGCCCGCTATTTAGTACAAGGTAGTGAGGAACGCAAAACCACCAGAGGAATGCCACTAAAACCCCAGCCCCCCCCATGCCGGTGATTCCCGGCTCCTGTCTCATGTTCATTTCGTCGTAGCGCGGGAGGAGCTACGCCGTACCCAAAACACCCCACCAACATCGAACGGATCCGAATCCCGTCGGTGTGACGTTACAATATCAACTTACTCCCCAACCGACGCAATATCGTCCTTCTATCCGTCATCCCGCGTGGCCCCCCTTCAAAATTTACTCAAAGTGTACAGTGTCCCGCCCAGATAATGGTGCAGCATCGTGTGCTGTGTCTACGCCCCCCCCCCCCCTCCCCACCAACCACACGTGCTGCTGTCTGTGCTGTGCTAAGTATCCACATCACTCCGACCTGCTGAATAACGTATCCACATCACCCCCCCGAAGGTTGCCGTGTCCATCACACAGCCACCGAGGCCCGGCCACTCGCGCCACCCACCCTACCGCGGAACAAACGCGAGCGACCACAAGGGGCCAGAAAGAGGTACAATAGCAGTACCCTACAGGTGCACCTCCCACATGTACCAATAGCGTGCCCCTCCCCGCCCCCCGCCCCCCCCCAAATCCATAAAAGAAGCATGCCTATTCGAAAGGAGCGCACACCTTCTCCACGACCCCATGGTCGTCAGCTGCCACAACACACCGCTCCAATCGCAAAGCCTAAGCCGGCGCGCGGGAGTCGCACCCCCAACAACAAAAACCAATGGTAAAGACAAGAACGACAAAAAAAATGCCACCAAAACTGCCAAAACAAGAGGTAACATGGCGCGTACCGAGTGCCGGCACTGCACGCCGCCGTTCATTTCACAATCCACCCAGCGCCAACACCGCCGCTGCCGAGAGGGCTAGCCTCGCGCCACCCCTTTCGGCCCCCGCTAGCCGTCGACACCGCGAACGCCTTCTTCTTGCCCTGATGCCACTGACCGCGCTTCTGCTGTCGCGACAACATCGCGAGAATCGCCGAAACCCAAGCGCGCTCGCCACTCTCGCCACTAGTGACACGACCCTAGTGTCTCGGAGATTGTTACACCGTCGGACCAACCGCAGCAGCAACAACGCTACCACGCTGGCGGGCCGTTATCGCGGGGCGACGCCGATTCGACTGGGGGGGGGGGAGAGGGGATGATGGTAATATGAACACGAGCGGGACTTCCACCGCCGAAGGCACGCAGACCAGGGCGGGGATGGTGACGATCGGGGGGGGGGCGACGACGACGGCGCTGCTACTGCTCTCGGACGAGCGACGGCCACCGCCACTACAGCAGTCCCCGCTAGCGTCCACCGCCTGTTCTCTCGTCTGATTGGTCGAGATATCCCCGCTTCCCCGGCCCGTTCGAGACAAAAGCGCCGGAAAACGACTCCCGCAGCGAGGCACGACCAACAGCACCAAGCACAAACAATTTGCTGCAGTTCGCGGAGGCCAGGCCAGTCGATCACACCCCACCGCCGCCCATATCCCACGAGGGACTACTGCGCCCGCCCGTTTTCTCGCGCCCATCCTCCTCACGAAAGCAAGCCGACCTGCGGAGGCATCATCCGCGCTCCTACCCAAACAAGGTTGTCCTTCGGTACGCCTCCCCCCCCCCCCGAATCGGTGAAATCGGTCCTGCGGAAACAATGCTCCGTCCTCTTGTCAACGGTCTATAACCGCTGAGGCATGCAGAGCTTGACAGCACCCCCCCCCCCCCCTTCCCCCGGCCGTCAGGGGCACATGACGCCCCACTCCGCCGTGATCCGCAGACGGCGGCCCAAAGCTCGCCGCCCCGTCCTGCCGGGTGAGAAGGGTAACGGCGGCGGCGGCGGCGGCCACCGAGGCAGCCGAGGGCACGGCCGGCACGTCCTTGTCCGCGCTAAAGTCCGCCGGGGCGGGGTCGTCGTGAGGCGTGAACTGTGGCCCGAAATTGGCGCTGGGGTTCGGGTACCCGAACAGGGGGTCCTCAGGCTCCTCAAAAGGGCAATCCGCGATGACCCCCTCCTCTCCTCTCCCCCCATCTGCGCTCTTGTTGTCGTCGTCGTCCTCCGCGCAGTCCTGCTTGCTGTTGCTGCCATCCTGAGGTGGCCGGGGGGGGGGGCGTACTCATTTGTTGCTTGCCGTAATCATTTGACCATTGACCACCCGTCCCTTTCGAGAAGGAACACCGTTCCTACACCTACTAAAAACACCACCAACAGTTGGGAACTCTTTACGTTTCTGCCACAAACTCCATAAAAATTTCTTGCACATCTTATCCCCGGGGGGGGGGGGGGGGGGGGGGGGGGGGGTTTTTTCCCTAACAAAAAAGGGAAAAAAAACCCTTTTTCCCCCCGGGAAAAAGGGTTTTTTTTTTTTTTTTAAGCCCAAAAAAAAATTTGCCCAAAAAATTTTTTTGCAAAAAATAATTTTCCCCCCCCAAGGGGGGGGGGGGGAAAAAAAAAAAAAAAACCGGGGGGGAAAAGAAAAAAAACCCAAAAACCCTTTTTCCCCAAAAAAACTCTTT